ACTCTTATCTCAAGCTCAGAATCTTTTGTACTCGCCTACTTCAGTCTCTTAAAACTTTTATAACACACAATACGCTCACCCCCCCCCCCCCCCCTCCCTACTTAGCTAAAGATAAGTTATCAAGCACTACGAAGCATCGCTGTTCGGGTTTATAGCCGCGTCTTTTGACGGCCATCGTTCTACATTTGGCTTGATAGTCAAGCTACTTACGTACTGTTAGCAACTACTGAGTAAAATTAGTAAGTAAGGTGCCAGGACCGGCGCTAGGATGTGCATGGCCAGCATGCGGCGAGTGATTAGTACCAATCCAAAGTGGAGTTGTTGCTCACGACTTTCTCAGGCTGTGGAATGACCATGGCTGGGTTTTACCTCAATGAATTCTTAGTTTAAAAGTTCATGGACGCTACGCTGTATTTGTCATGCGCAGCTCTTCGGGAATTGGACGTCTTACTATGCCTGTCGTACGCAGGGCTGGACACGGATGATGCGCTATCGCTATCATAAATAGAGCTGGAAGGACGTGGCGTGTGGTGGGCCTGAGAGTTTCCTTCTCCTTTCGTCCGGAATCGCTCCGCGAGGAACGCTTGGCGCTGTGAAGAGAAGGTAGAGTCAACATCTCGTACCGTTGGGGGGTGGCGACGACCGTGTGGCGGAGCGGGCCAGTTCGTCGACTGCGAGCTCGAGCCTTCCTGATGCTTATATATAGAGGGTATCCTCGGCACCGGCGGTATGCTTTCAGTCGCGGGACGAATAGTAGTGCTCGAACCAACCGTGTAAACGGTGCAATCTGTCCACTCACTCGCTACGGTGTCGCGATCTCCACGATCCTTTCTGACGTGAAGCGGGCTGGGCAGAGCAGACTCGGCGATACGACTGCCGCTAGGGCGGAAGGCAGGGTGCACCATAGACACCACGGTTTGCGCATCATCCCGGCCGCCTAGGTCTAGTCGAGATTCGCGTAACATGCTGGCCCACCATTTCTCAACTTTGGCTCGGCTTCTTTCTTCTTCCTCATAGTCCCTTTCATCGGCTTCATTTCCTTCTTCGAAGCCATAGGGGCTAGGCTCATCGTTTATGGACATAGCTTGCTCAAACCGACTGTTTAAAGATCGTGCAGATTTACCGTTGCTAGTCCGGCTGTCTCGAGGGCCAGGTGGAAAGTCGCGAGCAAGCCGTTGCCGCTCATTAACCACTGAGTGCCCGGAGAGACTGTCGGGACGATAAATACTCTCAGCTCTGTGTGTGTACATGGCGGACTGTCTTTGATCCGCAGCGGTCTTGATGTCTGCCAATGCGACAGGAATCCCATCTCGTGTTCGTCGTTTATGACCAGCATCAGTGGGTAGAGTAGCAATTTTGGTTCCTTTTTTTGTTCTTCTAAGCTCAGTGTATACAGAGTGTCTTGCAGTTTGCTTCTGTTCGGCTCGCCACGCTTCAATTTGAGGCCTAGCAATCCTTAATTCGTTGACAACAGTGTCGCTCATAGCCCTGCATTCTCCGGATCGGCCCGTTCCCTCACGGTGCTTTCGAAGATGATCGATCCAAGCTTCCACCACACGGTATAGGCGAGGTTCTTCTCCTGAAGACGCCGTCCTGCGGCGTTCCATACGATCCATCAGAGATGCTCTAAGGTCCGCCAGGGCTCGGCCACTGGCACCGACAGCCGCAAGACAGCATGCTTCACAAGAAGAGTTGACGAATACGTGGTGGCCATCGAAGGGGGCGAGCCCGTAAATATCGTGGAAAAGCTGTGGTTCAGTCCACAATGCTGCGATGGAGTCAAGCCGACCAACAAAGGCAGAAAGCTCGGGCGCCGAAGTTCTGCCGGGCCATGAACGCAAGGCATCTGTATGAACGGTGACTTCATATGCAAGAGCAATGAAAATTCTTCGGATCAGAAAAGGATTGAGGCCAGAATGGGTTTTACAGAGTATAGCTCGCGGGTCCACTATACTCGGGTCAATACTATCGGCGATCCTTGTTGCTAGGCGTTTGAGCAAGTTCGTCGATTTCAATAATTCCTTAGGAAGATCTTTAATCTTCTCTTCTTGTCTCTGCAACCATCGTCTAGAAGGTATAGCAATTCCGTATTCGGGACGTCGTGCAAGCACTTTAGTGATGCGGACGACGAGGTCGTCCGACAAGTCTTGTATCCTAATGCTCATGAGGGCGTAGGTGTAAGACAATGGAGTTCTTTCGTAACAAGTAGTCTGGATCAACAAAGTGACTTCACAAATAACAATGGATCGGGTTTAGGCTGCGGAATCAATTTTGTGTGAATAGTTATGCTTGGACGAAATTTGGCAACGTGTGGAATAGGCTCGAACGTTTATATGCCCGATTCGCCCGGGAACAACAAAACAATAGCCATAGTAACAAAGATATTGAATGCATTGAATGCTTTGTGAGGTTCTATGGAAACCACAACAGTGAGCCTGTGGTCTTTGTCCAAACGGCATACAATCAGCTTGTTGTAGAAACCTGTACGTTGTTGTCGATACTCGAAGTCGATGTAGATGCCGAGACCGAGCATGTAGTAGCTTGCATAGAGCCTGCTAAATAGAAGTAGTACTGGCTCGATCTCAAAGGAATATGTACTCACGAGAAGAAACTGGTAATCCCTTCAGGTAGTAAGTAACGGCTTCCGGGCTGACTTGTCCCAAGCTACCACACAATGTAAATTTTGTCCATCATTCAAACGTCGGTCCATGTATCAATAACGGCAATATGGACTGGGCAAAGTATATATTCAGACGACCTTATACGTCAATGCCCCTTTCATCATGATTGTCCCTTTGGCAAATTTCTCTATGGAAAGTAAGTGACTGCACGTCTTCGATACAACCGCCTAATGCTAGTCAAAAACGCCGTTCGGGTGCCACCCTGCATGCACGCTGATAAACATTATGGACATCATAACCACAACATATGTATCATAAACCTTAGGTTCCGGCGAAGTGTACATGTTTCCTTTCTGAAACCGTCGTTGTTGCTGAGATTTTGTAGCTCCTATACTGCGACTGGAACTCGGGATATATGATAATCGCTATCTCTCATACGTTCTAGCCGTATTTTCAAAGCCTCGGTCCCATCATCAGGAATAGCAGTTTCTCGAAACCAGGGATGTGCCAAAGCCTGGCGAGCAGTGATCCGTTTGGCCGGATCATAGATAAAGATCTTCTGCAGAAGATCTAGGAAAAGCCTAAGAAAAGGGCTGGTTGCCGGAATGATATCCTGGCGTCATGTTAGATGAAGCTTCATTCTATTAATCGTATAGACTTACACTTAGCCGTTTCATATTCCGAACGAATCGTCTCGAGGCTCTTGTGGTCTCGGCCGTGGGATAATCCAACTTCAAACGTTTGAAATATCTAATTCTTGTTAGATAGCTCGGTCTTGCTTCCATGAACGATACGACTTACTTTGCAGGAGAATTGCTGCTGCTACGTGACGCCGATTTGTTGACCATTTGCACGAGATGTGTGTCAATTCTACTGTCACACACGTTTTCCATCATGGCCAGGTGCTCAAGGTTGTCGTGAGTCTGGAACAGAGCGTCTCCAGTAAAGAACTCGACCAGAATGCATCCTATGCTCCATATGTCACATGGGAAAGACCAGCCAAGGCCAAGTATGATCTCCGGGGCACGATAATGCCGCGTGGAGACAACAGATGAATGATATTCGTCGTCGAATGTGGCTGATCCAAAATCTATCAAACGGATCTCAGTGTCAAGAAGGACTTTCCGTTGCGTGGCCTGTCGGTTTGTCCCATTGGTTGATGATGGTATCCGCCGATTGTAAGTGAATGTCTGATAGGCGCTGTCGCAAAGGAGGATATTTTCGGGTTTGAGATCGGTGTGAATAAGATTTAAGTCATGGAGAACTGGGTCATATGCGTCAGCGTGGAACATTCATCATGGCTTGCTCAAAAGCACTTACAAGCCACACTTGTCAGTAATTGACGGGCAAAGCTCTGTATTTGGCTGTTAGGAAAAGGAACGAAGTTGTTGCCTTTCAGAAAATCAAAAACACTGGAGCCCAGCAGGTCCATTACTATGCAGATGTGCCCACGGAAGTCGAAACAGTCCCGCAGATGGATACATCGGTTGCGATTTTCCTCGTCGTTGGCTTTTAGAGTCTGGAGTACTCGCAGTTCGATCCTTGAAGCATCTCTGTATTTCTGCACTGCTCGGATAATCTTGATCGCAACAAGCTTGTTCCGCCTGCGATCGCGAGCCTCAACGACTTTACCAAATGTGCCTTGTCCGAGTAGTTTCCTTATTTGATCTATATAGGAATTAGAGCCTGATGGAAA